ACATTCCCACCTGCACCCCTTTACTTCCCCGCCTCAAGCTACAAGCCTACAGAAACCAGAGAGCTTATTTGTGCAGAGTAATGCAGGAAAAAATACCTGCAGAAATGATGGACCTCAAGTAACTTCATAGTGACTAGTTTTCAGAAAGCCGGTCTCCTGCAAATGCTTTTGCAGCTCCATTATTTTGTACAAAGAGCCGTGATGAGATTTGCAAGCAGCAAAAAAAGAATCTTGTGTTTCAATTCTCCTCTCAAAGCAAGTACGATTTTGTTTTCTATACAACTGCTGCCTTGGGTAAATATTCTGAGATCAGGTCCTTGGTATAACACTAAAATCAAGAGTTGTGAAGTTTGCCCATGTTAACACTCAAGAACCACTGAAAGGTAAGTTCAGAGTGAAAACCAGAGTTTCTTGTGAAAATAAGCATTTCATCTGACAGGAATAAAACATATTTACAGAAGACACTGAAGGTTCTAGAGTCTTAAAATCTACCTGGAAATCTGATACAAACCAGATCAGATTAAAAGTACTCAAAAATTCAGAGTACTACAATACAGAAGCTATTGCATTTATATATAGTTCTAGAAGCAACAAAACCTACATTATGCTTGAGATATTAATAATAAACTGGGGGAGGTGTGGACATGGAAACACTCAGATGTACGTTTCCATAGACGGTTTGAAAATGCTTTGTGACAAAACAGGCAAGAGAAACACTTTTATCCAAAATTACTCTCGAGCTCCAACTGCAGTTCTCAGAGGGTGTCCCTCTGTTGGCGTGTGTGCAGTCAACCTTGGGCTGCCAGATCACAAACTAAGCTCCTTCGAGTGTGAAACCCCATCAGTCCCTTAATATCATCATGCAGGTTTTATGTATTTTTATTTGTCAGCAGTGGAATGAAAAAGGAAAATAAAAGAGTATATGCAAGTTATTTAGATGGATACTGCACTAGAAACAATTCCAACACAAGTTACAGAAGATTCAAAATTAAATGTAAAACATCACCAAGTAATGCCATGAAAAATTAGCTTCCCGCTCCTCCATTAGAGGTTCAGTTGATTCAAACGATGCCACTTCAGAGGAAAGGAAACACTAGACCTCTTTCCATCCTGG